CCGAGGCTGGGGCCAGGGTCGTGGTGGTGGCCGCGGCAGCAGCGGCGGACGCGGCAACGGCCGGGGCGGTAGCAGCAAAGGCGGAGGGGATGGTGGAACGAAGGAGAGCAAGTCGGACAGTAGTGGGGGAAGAGGGGCCGGCGGTCGCGGCGGTGGGAAAAGCGAGATTCCTTTCCGGTGCTTCACGTGCGGTCTCAAGGGGCACAAGTCGTTCCAATGCGAGACCAAGGAGAGCGACTACAACCCGCAATGTGAGCACTGCCTAGGGTGGGGCCACAAGAAGGAGAAGTGTCCTACGGAGGCGGCGGTGCTTGCCGAGGTGGTGAGCGATGTTGATTCCGTCGAGAACCAGGCCTACATGGCGGAGGCAACCCAGCCAGGCGAGTGTGGTCGTACCGTTGATCTTGGTCTAGTGGGGGTAGAGGAACAAGGCCAGGGTGTCATGAGGTACGTGGCCGATTCAGGGGCCACGTGCTCCATGTTCAGAAGCGCAGACGGCTTCAAGAACTACCAAGAGTGTAATCGACGGGTGAAGGGGATTGGTGGAGAATTCCTTCGAATTCTAGGATACGGGGACGTGACCGTAGTCCTTCAGTCGGAAGGCCAAGAAGTACCCGTGCCGATTAAGCGTGCAGCTCATGTGCCAGGAATGGACTTGAACCTTATCTCGCTCACTTCGTTGACCGAGGAAGGCCACACGTACGCTGGAAAACCGGGGGGGCTAGTGCTAACCACGAAAGCAGGGAAGGAAGTGTGGTTCCCCCAACTCGGAAAATTGCTCTCTCTGTGGGGCTATCAAACCGAGCCCGAGGTAGACATCGCCTGTGCCGCTATTATTGTTCCTGGCGAAGCGAAAGCCGCCACCCCCACTGACCTCAACGAATTCCACAACTCGCACGGCCACGCTCACGAGAGGTTGCTGAGGCTCACGGCGAAGCAGCAGGGAGTGGAGCTGACGGGAGGGCCGCTCCTGAGCTGCACCGGCTGCTCTATGGCTAAGGGGCAGGTGAAAGCCGTTCAGAGATTCACGGACACACGCGCAGTTAAGAAACTGTTTCGAGTTTTTATCGACCTGGGGGGGCGGATGCAGTTCCATAGCATCGGGGGCAGATGGTACACCCTCATCATCAGATGCGATGCCACCCGTTGGACGCGCGTGTTTTTTCTGAAACGCAAGTCTGAAGCAGCCGACGCACTCGAGCAATTTATCGCGGATTACCGGTCGGAGGGTACTCCGTGTGAGGTGTACGTTGTGCGTTCAGACAACGAATTCCAGGGGCAGTTTTCGAAGACTTGCCGGAAGTGGGGTATCAAGCAAGAGAAGACCCCCCCGCACACCCCCAAGTACAACGGTGTTGCGGAAAGATGGCTAGGCATCATTAGTGATGCCGCACTAGCGTCACGCATTCAAGCTAAGGAGATGTTCCCTGACGCGCCAACTGACCCGGCCTTGTGGGCTGAGGCGATCGCATGTGCATGCCATCAACTGAACTGCACCGCCACCACCGCCAACCCCGGGGACAAATCTCCGTATGAGATGTTCCACGGGAAACCGCCCCCGGCCGGGTCGGTGTACCCGTTCCTCAAACCGGCGGTGTACAAGGCACGAAGAGAGAGAAAATCGCACCCCAAGGGCCGAAAAGGATGGTACCTCGGACCGGCCCACAACCACCCCCGTGATTGCGTCCGCATGCTAACCGAAGCTGGAACCGTAGTCACCACCCGCAACTTCACTTGGCGCCACGTACCCGCTGTTTCGCCCGTTCCCCCGCAACTGCCCCTCGCGGATATTGGGGAGGGAGGGGAGGGCGAGGGCAGTGAGGACACGTCGAGTCGAGGTGGAGGGGGGGAAGAGGACTTGGCGAGTGAGTCCGACCTCGACATGACGGAGATCCGTGGGCCGGGGCGTGCGACACTGCCGGCGCGCGAGAATGCGCCGGCGGTACCCGGCAACGGGATCCAGGGGGACGAAGGTAGTGCTCCCCCGTCGCCCCATTTGGGAGGGGGCGATTTTGGTGGCGGCGATGGCATCCCCACCAGCAGCAGCAGCAGCAGCGACAGCAGCAGCAGCAGTAACAGCAGCAGCAGCAGCAGCAGCAGCAGCAGCAGCGACACCAGCAGCGGCGGCGGTGAACCCGAAGACTCCGGCGGAGAGGCCGGGGGAGCTGGGGGCTCCGACGTCGACGGCGAGGATAGCGGCGGCAGCGACGACGGCGAGTACAAATACGACCCCGCCGATACCCGCTACCCCCCCGGGACGCAGGGAAAGAAACTTCTCTGGGGCGCCTCGAAGGAGGGCCCACTGCGCTACGGGCTGCAGCGCGGTCGCACCCGGAAGCAGACACGGGAGCTAGCGGAGGCCGAGAGGACCGCCGAGGGTGCCGCCGAGGAGGCCGCCGAGGAGGCCTTGCTGTCAACAGTCCTGGAGGTGGAGGGAGGCAAGGAGCTCGTCGCTGAGTATCTCCAACGGTCGTTGGTGGAGGAGCGCCAGATGGAGGAAATGGCCCTACAGGCTGAGATTGAAGAGATGATGCTGCAGTCGGACGTGCCGGTGGAACGTCCTTTCAACATCGACTGCAGCAACCCTGAGCTAAGTATCCCCTCGCCAATCGGGCAGAAACCTAACGATGTAGAGGCTCTGCCGTTGACGTACGAGGACGTGAAATGGTCTAAGTACAGGAAGCAGTGGGACGAGGCAATCAAGAAGGAGATGGACGGGCATGAGAAAACAGGGACGTTCTCTAAAATCGAGAAGCTCCCTGAAGGTCGGAAGGCAGTCAGTACGAAGTGGGTGTTCGATTACAAGACTGATGAGAAGGGGTTGATTACCGACTTCAAGGCCCGTCTGGTTGCTCGTGGTTTTTCCCAAGTCCACGGACAGGACTACCACCACTCTTCATCAGCGTGCCCAGCCGTTTCATCGATTAAGCTCGCGATGGCCTTTGCCACAGAGGGCGGCCTACCCACACGCCATTTCGACATTAAGCAGGCGTACACGCACGCAAAGATCCAGGAAGAACTCTATGTGCGGATTGCCGATGGTAGTGGTGCCATGGCTGGCAAGGTGCTCAAGGTAGAACGGGCACTGTATGGTCTGAAGCAGAGTGGGCGTGAGTGGGGTTTTGAGGCTGCTAATATCCTGGTGGATAGCGGGTACGAGCAGTGCAGGGCTGACCCGTGTGTGTTCCGTAAGATCGTGGATGGGAAGGTAGTGAGCATCATCGTGATCTACGTGGACGACATCATGTACGTAGGGTCGGAAGAAGAGGGCGAGGAGTTGCTCACTTCCCTGCGTAAGACACTTCCTGTGAAGGATTTGGGGGAGTGCACCTGGTACGATGGATGTGCGATTGAAAGGGATTTGGAGTTGGGAACGACCACACTGTCCCAGAAAGCGTACATTGCAGGACTGATGGACCGTTTTGGGATCACGACGACCGCATCCACCCCCGCTGACCCCAATGCCGATCTAGGGCCGAAGAGAGATGACGAGCCCGGGGTGGATAAGCCAGTGAGGCAGGCGATCGGATGTCTGATGTGGCCTGCGACATTTACGAGGCCGGACATCGCCACCGCTCTGAACGCAGTGCAACGGAACGCTCATGCGCCCACCATGCGAGACTGGAAGGCGCTCGTGCAGATCCTGAGCTATCTCAACGCCACGATGGACCTCGGCATCACCTACGTTCGGGGTTCGGGGCTAGACCTAGAGGTGTATGTTGATGCCAGCTACGCCGACAGGGACACCGGCAGGCGTTCGGTGACGGGAATAGCCGTAACTGTTGGTGGTACCGTGGTCAGCCACGCTAGCAAGACGCAGCGTATCGTGTCTCTGTCGACCTCGGAGGCTGAGTACATTGCAGCCGGGGAAGGCGTGAAAGAAGCCTTGTTTGTGCGTGCGGTGCTGTCTTTCATAGCGCCTGAGACGAGTGGGGCGAAGATCAAGGTCCTTGAGGACAACCAGGGGGCGATATCGTTGGTGCAGAACCCCTTTAGCTCGGCGAGGAGCAAGCACATCGACGTGCGGTTCCATTTCATTCGAGAGCTGTTCAAGTCGGGCAGAATCTCCGTCGAGTACATCCCGACTGACGAGCAGCACGCCGACCTCCTCACCAAGGCTCTTGGTAGGACCAAACTAGAAGACCACCGGAATGCTCTGATGAACATCCCGGGGTAGTGGTCTGTTTTTTGTTGTTGTTTAGCACTGGACTTTATGATCATGGTACGTCACGCAGGAAGGATTTACCGGCACGTCACTCGAGGTTGGAGCCTAGAAGCGCCCGTAGCGCTACCGAGAGATGCGTAATCCCCGTGCCCGGTACAATTTGTCCTGCCTTGATCTTGTCTTGGAAGTGCGGCCGTTGGAATCCTCCGTGATAGCGACGGTTATATATGTTTAGGGTAGGCGAGGGTTTTTGATCCGGATGGCCGGGTTTCCCTTGCACCGTTACTGTTTAGAGTCCCTAGGTCTGATCAGGGGTAACCATGCCCCACGGATGGTTTGCCACTTGCGTGAAAAACCAGGGAGGATGTTCGTGTGTTTGGATACGGACAGGTATTGATCGACCGCAGTAACGGATATATTCGCAGATAGGAACGTAGACATACCATTTTGGGGTTCTTGTGTTTGTGACCCCTGCTTCTCTGTTTTCCGGAAGCATTCTTCTTCTTCTCTTCTCTTGCTTCTGCGTTTCTAATACAAGCGATATTCAGTCTCTCCCTTCCAAGTCGCGGACATATACAACAGCACAAGCAAAGATTCGTTTTCTATCCTTTTGGATACGCTATTGGGACATCGGGTACAAGAAGAACTCGAAGCAGTCATTGATAATGGCGGGAAAAGGAAGGCAATCCATGTCCCGCAAAGGGATGGTTCAGAGGGACCCGGGTAGGGAGGCAAGAACAACGCGAAAGATAGAAAACGCGAGCGACGGCCAACACCTGGGGCGAATGGATCACCCAAGGAAGGGGACACGTCTGTGCATGCACACTCCTGCAACCTACCGCCGGATGTCGTTGGCGTTGTCGTCCCGGCCTTCCTCTCCTCTCTCGTTCCCCTCCGCACCCGCTGCTGCCAGGGCTTCCTCCTCAGCCGGGTCGTCGAAGTAGTCGAGCCATGACCTGATTTCGGGCTGTTCCTCACAAAAGTCGATCACCTCCCGCATCTGCTGGATCGGACACACGACCGTGGATTTGCACGCCGAGGACAATCAGTAGCCACCAGTTCATCATCTTGTTCGAGTCATGCCAAAAAAACATATTCAAACTATGTGAACAGAAAGGAAGTGTCCACGCCCTGGAGAGGGAGAGTATATCTACAGTGCCTACTCGCTCCTTGGATACGTAGATTTACGTGATGAAACTTGATTTGTGTAAATGCAAATCCATAAAACACGCCCAAGTGTTTCTGGGAGCGCTGCCGAGTACACCATGGCCACAACCTGCGCAAGCTCCGGTTTCCGCACGAACCTTAACCTTGAATCGGTCAGACCCCTCCGCCCGGCGCTCGAAGGCATTCATGGCGGCAGCTTCGAAGTCGATGTCGCGCGGACAGGCCTTGAGGCCCGCGTCAACGCCCGCGCCGGTCCCCTCTAGCTTGCACATACCGGTTACGGTGCTTTTGAAGGCCAGGGATATCTCATCTATCGTGAGGCGACCGGTGCCGTCGAAGTCGTAGCAACTCAAGACAAACTCCAGCGTGTCGGTCACGCTCATCCCTGAACCATGAACAAGGACGTGCGAGATCCAATGGAACAGTTAGCTATACTATGGTTAACTCTGTGCGCATTTACAACTAGTAGGCAATGATGGTGTGAGGTTGTATCAATGCGAGAGCCATGAACGGGCGTCGTGAGTCTGCCGTCCAACTGGCAGCAGATGAGCAAAGGACGTTAGTACCATCCTGTTTTTTTCCGTGTGATGTATGTTACTCGCGGTCTATTTACTCTTGAAAGAAAAGCAAAATATCGGAACGAACAGATGACTTCGACTACATATGAGCCTGCAAGAAATCGCCAACGACATAGACTACATGTACTAAATAAGTGTAAAACGTTGGCGTTGCCCAAGCCGATCACTGTACTCATAGTCGTGCATGCCGTAGTCGTTAGACCATTGACCTCGCATCCCTACAAAGCCGGGACGGAGCACGCTGGGTTCTCACCGGACCAGGCTCTTGGGGCGGGCAATAGTGGGCAACCACATTCAGTACTGCAACTCTCGACCTGACACGCCAATCACAGCAGTGGGACGTAAATACCACGCTATGTAATATGGTAATTAGTATGATTTGCTTTGTTCCTTCGACTTACCCGAAGCGCACGCCATGGCGCTGACGAACTCGATGGCGTCGATCAAGCCGTTATTGTCGGTGTCTAGGAGCTTGAAGAGAGCCGTTGAAAGCTGCCGTTGAGTTTGTCAAAGCAACAAAACGCACATGTGGAAATATTTGCAACAAGCCCGTGTTTTGCACCGCTGTAGACTGAGCTACGCACAGAACCAGTAGTCGATGTTTACCAATTTGCGAAACTACCGTGTCAAACGAATAATCTTCCTAACGACGTGGAAGCACTGAAACACCGCAGTTCATGGCACCATGTGTAGGCCACAGCAGTAGAATACATGTCCTACCGCATCCTCACTCTCTGGCCCCAGCATGCGAATCTACCGTACAAAAACTCGCTGCTGCTGTTGTAGCTCTACGAGAGGATGAGCCGCGGTCCGACAGACAACTGCACCCGTACCGCAGAATGCTGTGCCATCGAGTCCAGGCCGTCTTCCACGGTGTGTGCACGATATGCACTCTACAAAACCAAAGCGCGGCATGTGCAAGAACCTTCACCTTATCCAGCTTGGCCCTGTTGAGCTGCAGCTCTTCTCCCAGCTCGGAGCAAATCTCTAGGAACTCATGCAGATTGATGCCGAAGCCATCCGCGACGTCGTTGAATGTCTCCCATAGCGTGCCAACGGCCGCAAGGCTGAGGTTGAGGAAGGGCTTTGCAGCGCTGTCATAAACGGCCTTTCCGTGCCTCTGGCCCATCGTTTACCTCCTTCAGGAAGAAAATGACGAGTTGAGAGCTGAATATCCAGGGGTCACCAGCTCACGAGGTTGTATATTCTCTCCATGTGGTGGGTTCTTCGCCTCCGGACAAGATGTGCCCGCACTTAAATGTCGCGCGGGAGCTCTAGAGATACCTTTCCCCTGACCACAAGGCGCAACTTGACTAGGATATGGCTTCAGCGAGGGGGAAGAAATCGAGAGGGAAGAAGGCGAACTCCCACGCAGTGTGTGCAGCACGGTCCCACGTGTGTGCGCTATGATATGGATACCGGGCGCTGCCAGCGCAAGGGGGCCGATCTTTCAGATTTCGGCAGGCAGAATCTACGGTGCTAGCCGCCTACCCGGTATTTTGTGCCAATCGTCGTGCCCCCCGCAGGCAGACCGCCTGCTCACCTCTGTGACAAAGACTCACACGAGCAAACCACGGCCGTACAGCAGGTGAAGAGAGAGACAATGATCACCGTCGCTCCCACCGCAACGGTGCTCCTGATGCTTTCCCCGGCAGCGCGCGCTTTCGTGCGACCGGTTGGCCCCGCGGCCGTGTCTGGCGTGCGGTGGTCGAAGATCAACAGCGCCTCCCACCAGGTTGGTCGTCGTTGTTCGTCATGTGAGCAGCAGCCTGCTTGTACACTCAGAACAGTGCCCGCAGCACAACGTCAGGGGCGTACGACAGCGCAAGGAAGTGCGCAGAATGTGGGCGTAAAATAGCTGAGGAGGTGGCGGCTTGCTGGCGTCAACGCGATCGAAACTTCAATTGATGTAGGACGGGGGTGCATGCGGGGTTTTTTAGCGGTTGTGGCAACATCGTCGACATGTCGGTTGCTGTGCCAACACCCCGCCCGTCTGCTTTTGTGCTCCCGACGTGCTGTGCTGTACCGACCGAGCACCAGTCCTTCACCAACACGTGTGTCTGGTGTTTGGCGGCGTCTCGGTCTCCTTCACCCACGACATCTATTCCTTCTTCTGGTACACGTGGCAGAGGTGCAACTTTGAGATTTGTCATGGAACACATCTGCTTGTCCACGGCGGAGAGGGAAAAACTGAAATTGCATGATCGATCCTGTGTGGCTGTGTCATTCCCGGTTGCAACATTTTCGAAGCCGTATGAATGTCACCCCAGCAGTAGTAGCTGCGCACGCAAAGCTTCGGCATACTGGCGTAGGGACAGGATACGGTGGTGATGGAGATGTTATCATGCAGCAGCAAAATGAAAGTTAATTTATGAAGCACCATTTATTTTATGCCCAGTGGTGCGCTCTCGCCGTTGTCCCTAAATATTTTGTGCATCAAGTCCCCACGTCCAACTGCTCCTTGGTCCAGAAGTTAACCTACTTCTCAGTGTGTTAACCCAGGACCATCACAACCACTGGGGTTTCAAGCACACAGGAGGGTGCCAGAGCCTACGTTTGGGCGCACCCTTGATTTACTCGTTTTCATACCTTTGTCTTATTGTACCATTTACATGCAGCATACGCTGCAGCACAGACTCCGTGTAGTGCATGCAACGAAGTTGACGGTGAATGGTGAATACACTGCTGTAACAAGCCGAAGGAGAGCCGCACAGCAAGAAATCCGCGTCAACACCACCGTGGCGAAAATCGAGAGGGGAAGACCAGGGGGTGGTATCTCACGTCACACACTTGCGCACACAATTCACAACTCGGACCATCTCCCGACTTTCAACACAGCAGCCTCCCGCGGGTTACAGCCGCGTGTCTGCGATTGACCAAGCCACAGGCCAGATCTTCCCTTGCTTCCACGCCTCGTTTTTTGTTTTTCGCGAAAATAGTGGGCTGGGTTACGCGTTGGGTTTTGCTGCGCCAGAGAAAAAGCAAACGAAACGAAAAGTATTGTTTTTATTATTTCCTCCTACATTGGCGCACTGACTCCGCCATGGGAGTCTTGCACCCGGCACGACTCACGCCGTGTGTGCGGTGTGTTACGGACCGTTTCGAAACTCTTTGTCCTCGCGCTGACCACAACCCCTAACGTAGAACTGCTGTGAAAGGTCTCATGCGTGCCGCCCGTTTCTTTCGCCTCGCTACTGTTTGTTGTATGCTTACCACCGTTCGTCCGCGCGGGCAATTCCACACCCGGACTGGATGGATGGATGGTTGGTACGGACGGATGCCACCGCTGCTGCTGTACGGACGACTGGCTGGCCCTCTCCGGGATGCCCTTATCTTTGTGTCTCCATGCCACCCTCTTGCCGCCGCTCTCCACAACATGAACGACGACGACGGTGGCAGACGCGGGCCAAATCGTCAGCGGTAAGTCGGCCGGCTAAATCTTGCGCCCTACATATCCTGTTGTGTACGGCAAGAGAAGGTTGTGCGTCCTCACGAGTGTAGACTGACTGTGACTCGGTGGAGTCTCTGACAGCCGCTTTCTGGATAGTAGAAATCTTGCGTCTCGCTGAATTCGAAACGTGTGTTGCTATAAGTAGTTTACGCGGGTGTTGAAAAACATGCCCGGAAAGTAAAACATGCCGACCACCTGCTGCGGTGCGGTTGGGCCATTTCTCCCGTCCAGGCATAACAACCACCCCTAAGAATGCGGAGCCTCCAGACCCACTGGTTATCACTGCTTGCACGTGTCGTGATGGTGTAGATGATCGTTACAGTGGTATATCTCTCCCTGCGATCGTGTGGAAGAGTGTTTTCAATCGCTTCTCTATCTTCGCCCCCCCCCCCTCTTGCTTAGAACGGTTGCGCGTGGCGTGTGGGTGTGTACGAACGTTATTGATCTCTCTCTCTCTCTCTCTCCCTCTCTCTCTCTCCCTCTCTCTCTCTCTTTCAGCAACAGCCGCCGAAGATGGCGCTCGAGAGCGAGGAAGACAAGTGCATGTACGCCTTCGGCGCCGCACTCGCCACCCAGACCGACCAGTTCAGGAAGGTGAAGCGAAGTGTACTGCTGTACCGCTTCGTGACTTGGTTGGATTGGACACACGTGGAGAATCACGAGTGTAGACCATCATAGCCTTACGTACGTTCCAGTCGTTGGCATTGTTGTACATGAGGTGGGTGTGCCAAAAAGGCAGCCTCGTACGGTAGATGCCAGTGCGGTACCGGAGGAATTGATGTTTATCGTGTAGCACTCACTTCCGAAACGAACGGGGAGCGTGCCAATCCATGACGAACGTCGGGGAGCGGCTTTTGCCCCTTTCGGGGGACACCAGCTTCGCCGCTGCTGCTACCTACTGTCGTCGGTGCCATTGGGAGTTGTTGTTGTTGTCTTTACATTAAACATGTAAGTGTGTTGCTATCCCGCTAGGAAATCCCGACTACAATAGGATCGGTCGACCGAAGCAACTGAAAACCTGCCTTGACGCACTTGGCTTTTTGTGTCCCTCTCCCTCCCACTCCCACTCCCACTCCCACTCCCCCCTCCTCTCCCTTCTTGTCTGATTTCCCCCCTGACGACTGCTGTTCCATCGAAACCGTTTGTACACACACGGCCGCACAGCTGCTTACCGTGGAGGAGAGAAAGATCGGGCTCATGGGGTTCAGCGACCACTGGCTGGAGTCGGGGATGCAGCTGGACCACAGCCAGTACGCGGAGAAGGTGAGGGTGTAGGTAACCTGCGAGGGAGGAGATAAGGTAGGCTCAACCATGGTCTAACTGTCTCACAACGGCCGACCTTGTAGTCCACTGACTGTTTTCTCAGCTTGTCTAGTTCCTTCATTTGCGTGTGATCAGCGGGAAGGAGGGTTATTCAAAGGAAAGTGGCGGCGTTTTACGCCATTTTCTGGTAAGTCCACCGTAACATTTTTGGATGATGAACGCCAGCCGTCTCTCTCTCTTCTCTCTCTCTCTCTCTGTTCTCTTCGTCTCTCGCCATCTCTTTCGTTTGTTGCGCTTTTTTTTTATCCTTCAATGTCGCCTAAAGGTGAACAACATTCTCCAGGCGCGCAACGAGGCGCTGGAGAAGAGCATGGCGGAGAAGGGTGTGGGATTCCTAGCCGATGCGGCGAAGGAGGAGGGGGCCGTGCAAACAGCCAGGTAACCTTCAAATGCCTTCATCGTTGTCTTGCCGTACATCCGTTCGTTGCTCTCGTTTTTGGGTGGTTTCGGGACGTTTGTTGTCTCGCTACTTCGCGCTTTAGTCTCGGTACTCGCAAGGGTTGCTGGACCCTTCTTTGGCAGTCGTGCTTGGGGGGGGCGGACTCTTATGTGTTTCATGCCCTAGCGGTTGGACCAATGACCACGCGTCCTCGAGAGGACGGCGCACTGTTCCCACAGGACCGTTCACCGATGGCTGCTCTTTCCTTCCTACTTTGCCAAAGGTGGCTCCAAAATGTCTCCCCCAGTCTACCTATCCTATCGACATCACTTCCCGCCTTTCCAACCCACTCCCTACGCGCCAGTACGACTACCGTCCTTTCCTCGCTATTCCATGCTTCAAACATCTCCCTGTAGGCATACCTTCCTTCTATCTTTCCCAGTTCAGTCATGTACACTCTCCTCTCCTTGCACAACGAAAAATCCGCAACTGCATGAACCCGGTCTTCGCACTCGGCGTCGCAATCACATTTGAACTTGTCGTCTGAGTAACAGCAGCGTTGCCCCCACAAGCCGTAACGTTGGTCGGCCATGCTGTGCCCGTTCCTCTCGTTGGCGTGCCATTTGTTGCACTACTTCAGCGGTATGGTGGTCCAGACTGTGGTAGAGGGGACCGGAGCGTCACCATTGCCCACCGACACCGTGAAGGCGAGTGCCCTCGTTATACCATGCCGTACCGTACCATACCGTACCGTGCCATAGTGAGTGATTTATGTGTTGGGTCCGTCGAGGCTCATCGATTGGCCGGCGTGCACGCTCTCGAAGCGGGCGGAGGATCTTTCCTTGTAGGGGATGTTTTGGCGTGGTGTCATATGTGTGTGTGTTTTTATGTCTTCAGTTCCACTTAGCATCAACCGTTGTAACCGACTGACCATTGGAAAACGTCAGTGAGTGCGGCTGAAGAGCGCGGTCCTAAAAAGACCATTTTCCGGGAGCCCGTGAGGAGACGCCATTGGAGAGGCTAGGCTGTGTGTGTGACTCAGTGTGTAAGTTGTTCCGTGTTCTGCTATGATGCTACGATAGGTATGCATAAGTTTCGTTGGTACAATATGTAAAACATGCTTTCATCCATCATTTTTGTGTGCGACCTCAGGTACACTACCACGGCACCCTCATCGACGGGTCTGTGTTTGACTCTAGCGTGATGCGAGGAAGCCCCATCAGCTTCCCCCTCAACGGCGTCATCAAGGGCTGGACAGAGGGAGTCCAGCTCATGAAGGTGCGTGCAAGTTGTGTGTTTGTGCGACCCAACGGGAGAACGGGAGAACATACGTTTGTGTTTTTGTCAGCAACAACCGCGAAGAAATTGGCACGCGCTTGCGTAGATGTAGCCGCAACACAGCGAAAGGGGGAGGTTGGGATTGATTGTGTTGGTGGCAAGACTTGTCATGTGGGCGGTATTGAGGTGGCGTTTTCTACTTTTGGTTGCATATATGCTTGAAGATTTTTCACGGGGATGACAGACACGCTCCGGGCAGGAACTTGGGCACTACGCAATGTGTGTGCTCTTATGCTTCGTGGTGTTCCTTCCCGTTCGCGCTGAAGCCCTGGGAACTAACCCACCTTGCGGTACCTCGAGGCACCGCGGTGCTTGAGGCACGCCGGCTGCGCGGGTAACGACGAATCCCTTGAGTGTTGCTGCCTCAACGTACAAAACATGTGTCAGAAGTGTTTTCAAGTGTTCGAGCAGTGTACACGGCAGCAGGTCTGACAGGCCCCTGATTGTGGCCCCAAAGGTTAGCGCCGCCGATGTTATTCGTATCACAGATATATACACCCAAACCGCCCCAATGTGAACCCCCATTCTCTCTGTTGCCA